GGATACTCATATCCATTTACTAGTTATTTTTCTACTTCTGCAATAATGGCCTTATATACTTATATACTTGTCCTTGTAAGACTGAGTTAGTTCAGGTAACATAATGCTCTCCAGTCCCTCCCAAATTTGGTAGTAATTTCCAAAATCATTGTTCTTGCGTGCTGCATAGTATTCCATCATGTAAATATACCACAAGTTCTCCATTCATTAGATTGTAGTTGGACATTTGGGCTGTTTCCATGATCTTGCAACAGTGACTAACGCTGCTATGAACATCGGTGTATATACAAATACATTTATACATTTTAAAAAGTAGAGAGTCATCAAAAGCAAGAGAGCTCTGGTGGCCCAGTGGGAAGAAGCTGCACTGCAATCCCGAAGACACTAGCTGCTCTGTGGGAGAAGGATGGGCAATCTCCTTCTCTGTGATTAATTGCCTCTGACAACCTGCCTGAGGGTCTGCTATGGGTCGGTTCCAATTCAACAGAGAGTTATAACCTTGATTAGATTCTCAAAGGAGTTCATGTTAAAAAATGCTAAAAACTGACCAAGAAGGTCTTTTCACAGAAAAAGAAAAGGTGGGGATGTGTAGGATGAAGATTTTGTTACTAAGGAGAATGGTGTCCCTTGGAGAAAAAAACAAAACAAAACATACAGGGTTTATAATTATAAAAGTAGGGGAAACTGTCACTATTTTTATTTCTGTGAATATCAGGTATACATTTTACTTTGAAATATTTAAAACTGCTTTCTCTCCCTGTGGTTCATCACTATATACTTAAAAAAAAAAAGAAAGTAAGAAATAGTTGAACAGTGTTTCCAAAGAATAAGCATTTATTCATTATTGTTGTTGTAAGGCACCATTAAGGTGAGTACAATTCATAGCAACCCTATGAACAGATCTGAACCCTGTGCATCCTCATCATCTCTGACACATTTGAATCCACTACTGCAGTCACTGTGTTAATCCACCTTATTTAAGGTCATCCCATCTTTCACTGATCCAAGCACAATGCCCCTTTCAAAGGAGTAGCCTCTTCTAGAAATATGTCCAGAGTAGGCGAGATGAAGCTTCACCGTCCTTGCTTCCAAGGAGCACTCTGGCTGTGTTTTAATTCCATTAAGTTCAACACATATCATTTTCTCTCTCCCTTGCCAGCCTACAAGTGTGAAATTACCTATGCATGAAGAACTACATGTACTTTAGGACCACTGCAGTGTAAGTATGAATGCAGAATGGCCTGGGATGAGATGAGGGCCATGCAGGAGCCAGGTTATAGGGGCTTTTGCATCCCATGCTAACAGGTTTGGACTTTACATTTTAAATTTTGGGAGTCACCCACGAGTTGAGAGCAGGGGAGTGACATGGTAAATTCTGCATCTGTAATTGCCCTTGAGGCATTGTAGATTCAATAGGGAGATCACTTTGGAGGACCGTAATAGTGAATGAGGAGAGATGATGATAGATTTCCTATGGTAGACACAGACAAGAGGAGATAGGTAAGGGAGGTGTTGAGATGATAAAAGGTACAGCCAACATGAAAAAAGTGTGAAGAAGGAAAGAGTCCAGGATGCCATACAGGTGTCTGGTTGGGGCAATAAGATATGAAATAGGGAGAGGAACACTTTTGGGAGGTGGGTACAAAGGGTTTGTGCTCAAGTTGGACATGAGGAATATGACATATTTGAGGTCTGGGGGGCAATCAGATGAAAAGAGATGAGGAATAAGAGTGTAAGTCAAATTGTGGCCCCTTTCACAATTTCCTGAGGAGAACAGAAAAGCAGGTGAAAGGATGCAGAAGCAGCCAGAACAGGCAAGCTGGCCCACCCTTAAAGTCTATAAGAAAAAGGTCTAGGAAGTTATCTGGGAGGGTTCACAGGCAAACAAATGCTGGCAAGAGACCCAGGCTCTTATCCTAGTTACATATGTTAACTCTTAATACTACTGCATAAAAAGAAAAACCACGACAAAATTTGAGTCATAAGCTTTTTAAAAATAGAAATGTTTTGAAATGTGCTTTAAAGAGTAAATTATAATTTTAAACTACTTCGTTTTAATTCTTATTTCCCATTTTTTTTAAAAAGGCATTTTCCCCCCCAAGCTATTCAAGTGCATTTCAGAGCAGAGCACAGGGCATTACTGTACCTTATTTCCGGCTCCTCCCACACGCAGCACATCATCAGGTTTCATAGCAGTAACACAGTCATTGACCAGCTTGTTGCTATGGGATCGAGTTGTTGTGACAATGTGTTTACCAGCGGGGACTTCTTTCAGTTGAAACCCAAAGGCACCTAAACCTAGAACTCCCCAGATTGTTCTCCCCAGTGTGGCATCTGGTCCTGCCTATGTAAACCAAGGTTTGTAGGAGAAAAAGAAAAAAAAAAAAAACAAAACAAACACCAAAATGGAATGTTTAATTACATTAGTATTATGACAATTTTGTAAACAAAAAACATGGTAGTGTTAATGTGTAAGGGCAATATCATCCACAGAGAACTTTTCCTGAGAAAATGTACTGGTCAGTCTGCTTGTTGCTCTGATTCCTAGTGTACCAAATGGAGCTTCTGGTTTCTCCCTGGAGTTCACAGGAAAGGAATTGTATATTGAAGACTATTCCTTTCTGAGTCTCCCAATGATCTTACTGTGACCTTTGAAAAATTATTCTCAGAAAGGCATCAAAATCCTCAAGAAATGAAACACTCTGTGTCAAATTACTACTTTTCATTATCCAAGGAACAAAAAGCATCTTATTACTATCGGACTAGGTAGTGGTGATAATGTATTTTGCTGCCATAGATACAAAGAAATCAATAAAGAGGCTGATACTGAAGCACTGTCATAGATAATAGGTTAGGATTAAGATTTTACAACTGTGGTAAAATTACATTACAGTCTCAGGATCTACATTTTTCTCTGGGAGTGTTCAACAAACTTCAAACATATTATTATAATCATACACCTCCTTTAGAAAATCAGAGTGTACTTCATGGAAAGTAAGATGTATAAAATGATTTACGGAGTCATTAAAAAGTTCATTATACTAACATACAAACCAAAGCCAAACTAGACAACCTTGAGTTATACTAACACAGTAGATATACAGAGTATTCTACTCAACACAGAGTATGTGCCAGGCACTATGCTAACTGCTTTACAGATATTATTTAATTTACTCTAAAAAACAACCCACTGAAATAATTACTATGATGCTATCTTATAGATGTTAAAAGTAAAATTCAGAATCTAAGTAATGTAACCAAGGACATTAGGAAGCTCACAACCAAACTCAGGCTCACTTGTGTTCAAAGCGGAAAAGCTGATGGTTTTCATTACTTAACTATACTGCCTCAGTTCATTCGCTATACGGTTTTCAAACACATCACCTTATTTGTCCTATAGCAGTATCCTCGGTGCCAGTACAGGGAAATGTGCTAAGTTAGAGGCTCGGAGTTCTGGGAAGCAGGCTGGGAGACACGATGTTTATTAAGTTGAGCTCCTGTCAGTTTAAAGGTTAACCCAGTGCATTTTATCCAAGCCATGGTCTTTTCAATTACTTCCTATGCACCTGGAAATTGGACAGTGACTGTGGTGTTGAAGAAGAGTACTGAATATCCCATGGACTGTCAAAAGAACAAGTCTGCCTTACTGGAAGTACAGCCAAGGTGCTTCTTGGATGATGAGGCTTCTTCATTCTTACTTTGAGTATGCCAGGATATCCAGTCCTTGGAAAAATCATCATGCTGGGGAAGGTAGATGGTCAGCAAATGAGAGGGGGATGCTCAACAAGGTGGGTTGACATGGTGACTATAATGGGCTCAAGTATATCAGAGGTCGTAAGGATGTGGAGGACAGGGTAGGGTACAATCTGTTGTTCATAGGTCTGAGTCATTGTTGACTCAATGGCACCTAACAGCAACAAGAAGAACTTGCAATTAACACCTGTGGAAGGGATGGACATAGACGAAAGGGAGCTTGACCTGTGATACAGGCCCAACAACAAACTCATATGGACACAAGCAGAGCTAGAATAGCCCTTTAAGGTTGTCCCAGATTGGGTTGAAATGCCAGGTCTGTATGCTCTGGCAACAATCAGTCATTGGACACAAACTGCCTTGGTGAGGACATGACCCTGGACAAGGCTGATAGCTGACAGCAGTCAGTGGATAGTATGTAGAAAAGGGCAACAAAGGGACCAAAAACCAAGTAGGTGGGCAATGCAGGGTGCTCATTTTATATATATATATATATATATATATATATTCCTCTGCTCCTCTTTATTTGACACCACCTACAGAAGAAGCTTAGAACCTACAGAAGAAGCTTAGAATCTGAAAAGTACCAATAGTCTCCGTGGTGGCTCTAAGCCTTCATTTGGCTTTACTGTGATCACAACTGAGAAGAAGTTGTTGCTCTCAAGAAACCTATTTATTGGGTGCTCTGCTGGCCTAGTGGCAAGAAGCTGCACTGTAATCCCAGAGGTGTATGGTTCAAATCCACCAGATGCTCTCCTCCAGTACCTGTCAGATCTGATAGTATATGCACAAAAAATAATAAAACAATTTTTTTAAAAAAAGAAACCTATTTATAAATTCTGTTTCCCAGTTATTCCAGTAAAGAGAGGGAGGCACACTGAAGAGTAAACACAAGTATTCCAGTCCGTAACCACTCATATTTCCTCTGAAAATGAATATGCAGGGAAAGAGATCTGGTGACTTTGTGAGGTAAATGCAGTTCCATTATGTGACCAGCTAGTCTTCCCCCGAGCTCAGGACCAGTCAGTCTTTCTCTTCAAAGGTTCTACACAAACTCTAGGGGTAATGAAGACTAACACTGACATCTTACTGATTATGATTCATAATGTTTATGACGCTCTCATGCAAAGACAGACAAGGTCATTTTTACTTTATGCTGTGTTTTCTTAAAGCAACTATGAGATTCACTATTTACTAAAAGCACTAGTAAAATTTGATTTGTTCAGTCTTTGGGCTCCAAAGGAAGCTCTGGTATCTTAGTGGTAAGGAACTATTCCATCAACCAAAAGGGAAGAATGTGAATTCACCAGAGATGGCCCTCTGTGATTTACTACCTCTGAAAACCTGCTGGAGGGTTAGCTATTGTGTTGGTACCAACTCTATGACACACAACAACAACAACAATAACAATTTCCTTAGAGATTTGTTGTGAGCAGTAAACAAGATACACCTATGATGATCAGTTAAGCCTGGCCACACACAGTAAGCTCTGATAAATTTTAGTTACTATTATAATGCTTACTTAGAAATCTAATTCTCAGCCTCAGACAGTACTGTGTAACCTTCTTACTTACCTTACCAAATCTTAAGGCATAAAGCGAGAGAGAAGGAAAAGAGAGGAAAATGAGTTGGGAGAGACAGTTGCAAAGGGAGAGGGATGCAGGGAAGCTGGAGAATGGGACAAAACATTGGGTTTATGGCTTGGGCACTGTCTGTCTTGGGGGCCACACAATGTCTGCTGCTTTTCTACTTTCTTGCAGCGCCAAACCCTAGCTCTGTTTCTCACCTTGGTTTCATTTCTGTCTTCCCTTAACATCTGCTTTTCATTGTTCTGTGAGAGATGAATACAATTTTTCTAATCTCAGAAAGAAGGGATGAAAATTATTAATAATTCTTAAGCTTTTGGATTTTTTTTCATGAAAAGTGTCATGCATTACAATGTTATTTATGAATGATATTTCATCTTTCAAATAACAACTATCAACTTACTTTAAAGTTTACACCATAACCACCAAGCCTGGATACAATACTGCATAAACATTAAAGTAAAATTCAAAGAATTAACAGGCATTTAAGAAATGTTATATGAGAACTAATAATAAACTGGTGGCCTTGTGGCAAAGAAGCTGTGTTGCAATCCCAAGGGCATGCAGTTCGAATCCATCATCTGCTCCATGGGAGAAGGATGGGGATAATCTCCTCCTATGCGATTAACTGCCTCTGAAAACCTTCCAGAGGGTCAGCTATGGGTCGGTTCTGACTCGATAGTACACAACAACAATAATAATCCATATTTTCAGAAGTAACCACAAACAGATGTGATTTATAAATAAAAAGAAATAATTATACAAATGACAAGATAGGACAAATTTATCCCAGAATAAAGATTAATACTACTCTTAAAATCAGAAATAAAAGTTCTATAGTCTACTCTGGTTACTTGGTTTTCACAAAGTTCTCACAAGGCCACACTAATATAAACATTTATCTCTATAATTTCCTTGAAAATTTAATTTAATGCGCTTCAGTGGTATATTTCTACTTTTGAATTATGTAGTCTTTTTACCAAAGAGCCAATTCTCCTGAAGTTTAATAGAAAGTCAAAGCAGTAAAGAGGAGACAAAACACAAGAAAAGAGTACAAGAGCATGTTTGGTTCTGTTATCAAGACAGTCTGGAATTCAGGCACATGATACAGCACTACGTGCGAGAATCTTCCCTTGGCCAGAGTGACTAACTTCTTCAACTAGCATTGTGGTTAAGATGAAAGTTTACAAAACATATTGCTTTTTCATTCAATAGTTCATACACATTTTATATTCTAACATTAATTAAAATTCATGAATTACAATATTTGATCAACCACTTATTGTATATTGTCTTTCACTTCACCCACCTCAATTATGTTACTCATTCATTAATTTGTACTTCCCTTTCTCACCCTTTCCATGCCTGGTGACCATCCCTGATAGTCTGTGTATATAAAACCCTTTTCTTAGTTTTTTATGATAGTGATTGTATACAGTATTTGTTCTCTTTGATGACTTTGGTCACTCAGCATAATTTTCCCTAGATTCGTCCATGTTATACAGTGTTTCATTAATTCTTTTTCATTCTTTAATGTTGCATAGTGCTCCACTGTGCAAATACAACAGTTTCTTTAACCAATCATCCACCAAAATATCAGTCACTGGTTAGATGTTGTTGCCAAATATTTCACCTGTCTGTTGGAGGGTTTGGTGGTTTTTTTTCCCTTTTTTTGAGAAGTCTTCTGGGGCAAACAGAGATTAGTTCTTAGAAGGTTCCAATAGTCTAGGTTATCTCTTGCTGGCTGTACATTTTCATTCATACTTGAGAGTCTATTTATGTCATTGACTCAGCCTTTTAAATTTGTCCCTATTTTTCTCTGTGATATTTTGGCATTTTGGGTTTATATATAGGTTCTTGATATATTTATTTTTTAATATGGTATGAGGTACGGATCCTATTTAAATTTTATGTAAATAGGTATCCAGTTTTGCCAGCACCATTTGTCAAAGAAGTCTCCCCTCCACTTAAAGGATTTTATCAATTTGTAATGTAAAATATCAACTATTCACATGTGGGTGGATTTATTTCAGGGTTCTCAATTCTATTCCATTGGTCTATGCATCTGTTGCTGTACACACCTATACAAAGTTGTTTTGATTACAGTAATGGTATGGTAGGGTTTGATACCAAGAAGTGTAAGATGCCCTACTTTTCCTTTTTTGGTTGTTCTTTGCTTATTTGGGGTTTCTTTCCTTTCCGTATAAAGTCTGTGATTACTTTTCCCACCTCTTTGAAGATCTGTGACGATATCTGAATTGTTGTTAAGTGCTGTTGCGTACAACTCACAGGGTCCCTATGAACAATAGATCTGAACCCTGTCCTATCCCGTGTCATCCTTATTATCTCTGATATATTTGCTCCTACTGCTGTTAATCCATTCCAATTGGGATTGCTTAATATCTCTAGAAGGCTTTTGATAATACTGGCATTTTCACAATATTAAGTCTTTCTATTCACTAGCATGGTATATTCTTCCTGTTATGTAAGTCTCTTTTGGTTTCTTATTTTCTTTTCTGTCTTGTAGCAGTACTCTATAGTTATATTTGTATAGGTTCTTTTACAACTCTGATTAGATTTATTCCTAAGAAGTAGTCCACTTTTGGTGGGGGAAAGGCTATTGCAAATTGCATTATTTTCTTTCTTCATTGTTACTATAAAGAAATCTGGTATTTTTGTATGTTGATAAGAATACCCTGCCACTTTGCTGAGTGTCAATTAGATTTAGTCATTTTCTTGCTGAGTCCCTGGAATTTCCTAACTAGGATATCTCCTTCAAATAGAGATAGCTTTATCTTTGCCAATTTAGATGCCTTTTATTTCCTTTCCTTTTGCTGTTTTATGGCTTTGGCTAGGACTTCCAATACAACATTGAACAGCAGTTTGGATAAAGTGCATCCATGTCTAGTTCCTGTTCACAAGATAAATGCCTTCCATCTCTCTCCACTGATAGTACTGTTGGCTTTTGGTTTTGTATACTAAGCTTCTAATTAAGTTCAGGAATTTCTTTTATTCCTATTTTGCTGAATGTTTTTCTCAAGAAAGGCTGCTGAATTTTGCCAAATGCCTTTTCTGCATCAATGGACATTGTCATGTGGTTCATTCACTTCTTTTATTTATGTGTTGAATTATATGGATTGGTTTTTTTAAAACTGCATATGTGGTATGAATCCCATTTGATCACAGTATATGATTTTTTAAATAAGATGCAGGGTTATATTGGTGAGAATTTTACTATCTGCATTAATGAAGGATATTGGTCTATAATTTTTTATTGGTGTCTTTGCTTGGCCTTGGTATCAGGGCTATGCTTGCTTCATAGAATTAATTCAGAAGTATTCCTTTTTCCCCCCTATATTCTGAAGCTCTTTGAGTAGAATTGGGTGGCAGCTGTTCTCTAAATGTTTGACACAATTCACTAGTGAAGCCAGCTGGGCCAGGACTTTTTGTGTTAGCAATGTTTTTAAGCATAACCTGTTCAATCTCTTTTGTGATAGGTCTGTTCAAATATTCTACCTTGGTCTATGTTAGTTTGTTGCTGTTGAGCACCATCCAGTTGGAACCCACTCATAGCTGAGCCTCCAGTGGATTTTCAGTGACAGTTAAGCAGAAGGGAGGAGATTGCCTATCTTTCTCCCATTGAGCTGCTAGTGGCCTTGAACCGTGTGTCTCTGGTCTAAAATGTGTCCACTTTGTCTAGGTTTTAAAATTTCTTTCTCTGCACCCTGCAATAGGGTACAGCTTATCCCTGACCCCATAGAGTCTGAATGCGTTGTCTAGAACTTTGTGTCTGGGATGGTAAGGAGGTGATGTCAGACTTCACGTGGGGCTCTGGAGGAACCTGAACTTGAAACCCCAGAAAGCAAATAAAACAGTAGGAATATATTCTTTAAATGTTTCTTATAATATTCTGTTATTTTTCTTCCCATTTCAGCTGGTTCTGTCATGATGTCACCTAATTAATTTCCCATTTGTGTTATTTGCATGTTCTTCTTTTTTTTTTGTTCGATTTGCCATTGGTTTGTTGATTTTATAAATCCTCTGAAAGAACCAACTTCTAATATTGTTGATTCTTTCTACTGATTTTTTTTCTCTATTTATTTCTGCTCTAATCTATATTACTCCCTTTCTCCTGGGAACTAGGCTGATGCTTGCTGCTCTTTTACTAGTTGGCAGAGATGTTGGGCTCATGTGTTGATTTTGGTTCTTTTTTCTCCTTTTGAGATGTATGTAGTTCTTTTTATTGCTACAAACCTCTGAGTACTGCTTTGATGGTGTTTCAAAGATTTTTGTAGGCTGCGCTTTCATTTTCATTTGCTTCAAGACATTTTTAATTCTTTTTTAATGTATTTGATTATTTAATAATGTTTGAGGGAGTCATTTTGACTCCATGTATTGGGTTTTTCTCCTCCTTGATCTTCCTGACAATGACAGTATTGTGATCTAAGATGATGCTTTGTAGTATTTCAATATTTTTTCATTTTTTTAGGCTTGCTTTGTGATTTAATATATGGTCTATTCTGAGAGGTGTTCTATGTACACTATAGAAGAATATATATCATGCTCCTGTTGGGTGGAATGTTCTATACATGCCTATGAGATCAAGTTGGTTAACTGCATTATATTTGGTTCTTCTGTAGCTTTGGTGAGTTTCTTTTCAGTTATTTTGTTCATCAGCAAAAGTGGATCTTCAATGTACTTTAAAAACCACCTGTAAATGAGGTGTCTTAATGCCAACCTAATCAAGAGCACTATTAGCAGTTCCCAAACTTCAGGATGAATCATAGGTGGTATATAAAATATATTTAAATACAGTATATGTAACAGTTTAGGGCTGTTGTACATTGGGGCTCTATGAGTGGCAAACGACTCGATGGCACATAACAACAACATATGTAAATCATAGGTGGTATATAAAAATATATTTAAATACAGTATATGTATGTTTATATACACATACATGTCTTATCATTAACTTCTCTACAAGTTCTCATTCAGGAGGTCTGAATTATAAAATGGGAATATATATTTTAAAAGATTTCCGAGATGATATGTACAAACAAGATAGAAACCACTGGATTAGACATCAGGAATAATAAAAATATATAATTACTTAACTAATACAGTAAATTTTTATAACTTATAACAGTACCTGGTAATTATAATATGGTTGGTTAATAACTCCTGCTATGGCTTTTCCTTCATAAGCAATTCCAATAAGAACTGTTACATTGTCAAGAAGACCTATAAAGAAGAAACAAACATCTACTAAATAATCTTTTTATGTTATGATTCATCCTAGTAACATCAATTGCGGCAAGCTATTTTTAGAGTTATTGTTGTATACTGTTGAGTTGGAACTGACCCAGAGTTGACCCTCTACTGAGTTTTCAGAGGCAGTGATGGGACAGGAGGAGATTGTTCATCCTTCTTCTGCAGAGCAGTCAGTGGATTTGAATCATGTACCTTTGGGATTGCAGCACAGATTCTTACCAGTAGGCCACCAGAGCGCCGTATATTTCTATAGTAAGGATAAGGAATTTGCAGTGATTAATTTATGATCAATTATTCTTATGGGAAAATGCACAAATTATAAGAGACCTTTGCCAGAGAGAGAAGTAGAATCTAAGGTCACTTAAATGAAATAACCACTGCCTCATTAGTACAGTTTAAATATCAATTGAATAAATCAGCCTTATTGCTGCAGTTATTATTATTAGATTCCTGTTTCTCTTCTTTTTTTTACATTTTTTTAAAGCTGTGAAGCTGAGAAGAGAGCTCTGAGAACATAATGCATAGGGAATTGTGCTGCTAACCTGAACGTGGCACCTTTCTGGCAGTTCAAATCCACCAGCAGCTCCACAGGAAAGAGATGGGCAATCTCCTCCTGAGAGATTTGTAGCCTCCAAATATCTGCTTGAGAGTCAGCTAGGAGTTGCTTCTGACCTGAGAGCAAAGAGTTTGAGTTTCTTTTCTTTCTCTCTTTCTTTTTTTTTTTAATGAAGTAGAGAAATTCCATTTAAGAAAATCTGTGGGCTTTATATTAAGCATGCATAAAACTCTAAACTCATACTAATCTAAAACACTGGTTCTTGGCATGAGCCTTTTACCATGATGTTGCCAACTCTAGTTTGGCTTGTTGCTTTCACATTTTTCTCCTTGGATAGCTTCAGAAAGAAGAAATATTACACACTGTGTCAACAAGACTCATCTTTAAAGGTGAAGCTGTAAAGTTAGAAATGGTTCACAGATGAGAGGTATGTGGTCTAACAAGTAAGCAGGACTAGTAAGGGAAGCTCGTGGTGGCAAAGCAAGGGGGGCATAGTCATGGTTGCCATTATTTTCTCCATTAAACTAGGAGTTCAAGAAATTACTGGTAACGCTGGTTTAGCATGTTAGTGATTCTCATTTGAGTTACTAATGTCTGTAGGAGTAAGACAAGGGAGAGGAATTTCTCTCTGTCTTGGTAATTACTTTTGTATAAGATAGCTGGGATGAGCACAACTTTAGTTGCCATAAAATATGATATTTGCTGTCCACATAATACACGTTATATACATGTCAAGAACGTATATACAAGTAAACAGCATAACCTACCACCACCAAAAGAGAAATACGGACCTTCAGTGTATTCCTTGGTGCCATCAAGAGGATCAACCCAGACCACAAGCTAAAAAACAGAGAGGACATAGACAGATGAAGAAAATCAAACTAAAAATTAGATTAAAATACATTAAATATAATTATTCCTTTTTTTCCCTTTATATAATTATGGATGGATTGACTGATGAAGTCAATCATCAATTTTATAATAGTAAAAAGAACCCCCTGAATACTTAGTAATCATGGAAGAAATTAAATTAGGGGAAGGTCTGATCTACAAATTTTAAATAAAAATGCTTAGCTGATAACAGCCCTGAGCATGTTATTAAGTTCTAGATGGCAGTACAGGGCTCACTTTCAGAGTGCTTTAAAAAATGTTTTGAACAATGGGTTGATGCTACTCATGTTTATTCATAAGAGCTGTATTTGGTTGGTGTTTTTTTTTAACCACCACCAGTCTAATTATCTTAAGGTCATAGCTCATACCTGCCAGAGAAAAAGCAATGGTTTGTTATATAGGCAGGTTACAAGAGCTGCTTAGCTCTTGCACAGTGACTGAGGACATGTAGGGATTAACCATGCTAATCGCAAATACTTGTTGCAAAGGAGTCTCTGCTGGAGGACACTGTATCTCATTTTCTCTATATTCTCTAAACCTGTCTACTCATAATAAGTATTTTATGAACATGTGCTAAAGGAATTAAAATTTAGGAAGTATGGTGGTTATGTAAAGGAATGAATATTTAGGAAGCAAGGTGGTTATGTGCAATCATATATTTAATTTAAACTGTAAAAAAAAATAAGAACTCTAACTGTAAATTGGTAGACCAGATATTCCATAGGGTTGTCTGATACATCAAAAGAAAGATTTCAAGTTTCTGGCTTGTTTCTTACTAAATATTGGCATAGACAAATTTTTTACTTCTTCATTAAATATACAACAGATTAAAAGGAAATGGAAAGGATCCAGCAGAGACCTGAAAAGAAAGGGTAATGATGGGCAAGGTCCAGTGGTAATTTTTAAAAACACAATTAATGAGAATGATTGTATGAACCACAATGTGAATGAAGAATAGTGTGAAACACAATGTCTATGACCTTTGTAAGCAAACCAATATAAATTATTAAAAAAAGAGAATGAAGTATAAAGATGGACCATACATCTTCCTCCTTAATGGCACTGTACTGTGATGGGCATGGCTGCTTCAGTATCTCCTCCCACTGACCGTCTTCAATCAGCTCCTGGTCCACATCTTCGGCAGGCAGATCCTAAAGCAGAGACAGTACTGATGGTAACAGTGAAGCTAAACACAGAGAATACCTTTACTGTCAGTAACAGGATAAATAAAATATCACTATTTTCACCAGTCCTTTCTCCTTTATCAAGGGGTCCTGATGGGCTACTGAAAGCTGCTTCTTAGGAGAAAGATGGGATGGTCTGCTCCTATGATGATTTTTAGCTTCAGAAACACGAAGGAAAGTAGCCAGGAGTTGAAAGAGACTTTATAGAAGTGAAGTGGGTTCCTATTTATCATTTCTTTTCAGAGCTTTTAAAGGAAACCTAATAAAAATGGAAATATGAACCATAAATGGTTCATCAAAATTGACTACCCATATTTCATTATTCTTAACAAGATCTACAAAGAAAATATTTGTTAACTATTATAAACTGGGCATCAGATAATGATTCTATCCTTTGAATCACCTGAAATGTCAATTTCTTCATTTTCCAAGTGTTATAATGTTTGGTGAGTGTGACTTAATTTAAAAAAAAAGCAAAGCCAAACAAATACTGAGGGAGGAGAATGTGCAACAATGAATGAATGAAAACCCATCATTTCTGTAAATATTCATTAAAATCATACACACACAAATAATAATAATAAAATCCCCAAACCAAACACCAAAACATACAACAAACTGCTAAAACTTTGCCCACGTTACATTTTTAATGTTGAATATGATAACAATAATCATAGCCTAGAAGTAAACCAAAAACATAATACTTTAATCAGCTATTTCTTCCATGTTAGAATACAGTAATTAACTTTCCACATTACAAGAAAAAAAAATTTCCACATTACATGGTTAGCTATAATGCTTAAACTTTTAACAGTGTTTTAGAAATCATTCAAATGTCAATTGTAAGTTCATTGGATGAAAATAAATTTTAAAATATACTATCTCCTTGCTATTGTGAACAACACAGCAGTAAACATGGATATATCCATGCATATATCTGCTGGGATGGCAGTTCTGGTTTCTTTAGGGTATATTCCCAGTAGTGGTATTGCTTGGTCAAATGGTATTTCTATTTCCAACTTTCTGAGAAAACTCCGTATCACCATCTTACACTCCCAACAACAGTGGATGAGGGTCCCATTTTCTCCACAACCTCGCTAGCATTTGTTGTTTGCTGCTCTGTTAAATTTTGCTATTGTTACTGCAGTGAGATGGTATCTCATATTTGTTTTGTTGTATCTCTCTGAGAGCTAGGGCTTTGTTCACAATAGCAAAGAAATGGAAACAACCCAAGTGCCCATCAACAAATGAATGGATGGAGAAATTGTGGTATATTCACACAATTGAATACTATGCTGTATTGAAAAACAAGGAACTCATGAAATATTATATAAAATGGGTGACCCTGGAGGACATTATGTTGAGTGAAATATTTCAGGCACAAAAGGACAAATACTGCATAATGCCACTCTTATAAAATAGTACTGACATCGGGGTAGAGGGGGAAATTAAGAAAAGAGGGGATAAATAACCTATACCTCATTAAAACAGATGAGGGAGAGAACTGCATAAAAGGAACATATGATTAGGTATTATTTGCATGACAACAGTCCAGAATAAGATCTGCATAGTAAAGTGACTGGGGGTCAATTGTATAGCAATGAAAGTTTTTTTTTTTTTCAAAGAGAAAAGAGAATGGGAGGGGAGGAGTGAGTAGGGAGGAAAATGTGCAACAATGAATGAATGGAATTTCATGTTCTCTATATATTTTCATTAAAATCTCAAATTAAAAAAAAAAAAGGAAAAACATACTAGTTGTATTACCTCTTCTCCTATAATTGTCAGCTTGGGAAATTTCCTTGCTAATGAAGAGCATATGCTCATTTGTGCTAATCGGTCAGCTTTCGTCTGCAGGTCTGTTGCAGATGTCTACAATAAAGAATACAAATTTTAGCAGAATTAATGAAAAATAAGGAGTTCCAGTGGTACAATGGCTAAATGCTCAGCTTCTACCTAAAGATTGGTAGGTAGGACCTCAAGGAAAAATATCTGAGATCTGCTACCATACAAGGCAGTAATACATTGTCTTGGAAACCATGGGACATTCTCTTCTGTCTGAAAAGGTTACTAGGAGTCAGAATCAACTTGAGGACATACAACAATAACACAATGCGTTGTTCTCAATTTCATTCTTAGTGCATGGGTATCATTATCATTTAAATTGCGCTGCCAGTTTTTCGATTCATGGGACTTAACTAAAAGTGAAGTTGACTCATATTTCAACTTTGTTTTTCTCCTGAGATGAACAGTGCTTAAAGTTTGGGAAGGAGTTCTTAAATGATTTAGGAGAGTTTCTCTCTAAATTCAGAAATTCCTTTTATGAGATCTCTCAATATTGTTGCTTCATGAGGTTAAATAAAAACATTTCACGATAGCTGAAGGTAACCTTTAGCTGTTTAAAGGTTAGATGGGATTGAGCTGTACTTATGTGGATTCTTCTAGACTTTCTAGAACATCTACTCATTAACCCTAATCCTAATAATAAATTAGTCTGTAAGATAAAGCATAAGTATATGATTTTTTCCAAATCTAAAAAAAAAATTAAAATGAACTGCTATGTAGCACACCTGGTATCTTCTCTCAATTCATGTCAGACTGTCATATTAATTCTTCGTCCTCAAAATATATATTCCTGATTTTTCTACAAGCATAGTATCTATCACATCTTACAATTTTGTATCTTTTGTGACAAATCTAATTCAGCATTACCCCTTTTAAAACAAGATAGTAGTGTCAGAGATAAAGTACTAACGAGAATTACCTGATTAATAAAGAGACAGTGAGACTATTGTCTTTCCTCCACTTGAACTTATCTCTATTATTAAATTTATCTTTATTATTCTTTAGCTATATACAATTCTACATTTAATAAAAATCAACAAAAAAAGTAAGTGATGCTAAGAAAAAATATTAGCGCTGGTAGGATAATGGGTGATTTTTGTTTGCTTCTTGCTATTTCTCTCCCTTTCCTATTTTTTTATAATAGAAAAATTTTACAAAAAAGAAAACTTAGGAAGATTAGTAACCTTTTAAAAGAAGCTATTATTTAATTGTTGGTTTACTACTGAGCATATAGGAAACTGCGAGTCATTTTCAAAGCAGAAATGAAGCCCATCTGAATTAAAAGACTTACAGTCCCTACCAGTGAGCTATCAGATTCCTTCATCTCTTAGTTTATTACCTCTTTAGCTAAAGCATAATGAACACAGAGTAAGAAATTAGATGAGATTTTCAGTACCTTCTCCACAATTCCTAGGTCTCCTTCAGCAATAACACGTCTGACTATCATTCCCGCCTTCTGAGCAATAGAATATGCTGAAGCTACCAACCGCATCAGCACAGTATGACTGGAAGCCATGATAAACCCTAAAAGGAAGTTGAGAAGAGACTGTTATTCTCAAAGCTAACTACTTGTAATATTTATTTACCTGAATTCAATTTGAATACTTTCTTGGGATACTCCCATAGAACTTAACAGACTCTTTAACAAATATTTACCAAAGAAGGGTTGGGAAAAACTCCAGTGTTCTCACTGTTGTTGTTACGTGCCATCAAGTCGACTATGATTCACAGCAGCCTTCTAAATGGACCTGAACCTTGCCCTATCCTGTGCCATCCTCACCATCTTGAATCCACTGTCACAGTGTCAATCCATCTTGTTGAAGGTCTTCTCTTTCGCCGGCCTTCCATCCTTCCAAGCATGATGTCCTTTTCTAAGGACTGGCCTCTGCTAACAAGTACAGGGTAACTAAGGCAAAGTTTCACCATCCTTCTTCCAAGGAAGAAGTGCTGTTGGACTTTCTCCAGGGCCTATTTGTTTTTTCTTTTGGCCATCCATGGGATATTCAGTACTCTTTTCTAACACCACAACTCATTCTTCTTTTGTCATCCTTAATCACTGTCAAACTTCCAGAGAGATGCATAACAAGTAATTCAAAGACCATGGCTTGGGTCAGGTGTACTTTAGTCTTTAAAATGGCATAATTGCTTTTCAGCACTTTGGAGGTCCTTGAAAGCAGATTTTCCCAATGCCAGATATATTTTATTTCTTGACTACTGATACCAAGGGTATTGAATGTGGATCCAAGTAAGATGAAATAGTAGACAGTTTCAATCTTATCTCCATCTATCATGATGTTGCCTATTGGCAAAGTGATGAGGATTTCTGTTTTCTTGATGTTGAGATATAATCCATATTGAAGGCTGTAGCCTTTGATTGTCTGAAGAAAGCATTTTAAGTCTTCCTCACTTTCAGCAAGCAAAAGTGGTTTTTTTTTTTATCTGCATAAAATGTTGTTGATGAGTCTTCCTCCAATCCTGAGACCATGCTCTTCATCATAGTGTCCAACTTCTCAAATGATTTGCTCAGGATACAGACTAAGTATGGAGAAAGAATACAGCTGGGACATACACTTTTCTCAATTGTTTTTAAACCATGCAGTATTCCCTAGATCTGTTTGAACACCAGTCGAACTTTTTGATTTACGTATAGGTTTCACATGAATACAATTAAGTGTTCTGAGATTTCCGTTCTTCTGAATATTAGCCATAATTTTTTTATGATCCATACAGTCAAATGCCTTTATATAGTAAAAAAAAAACAAGACACCACAATTAGACATCATGGTATCCTCTGCTTTCATCCAAGATCCATATGACATCAGCAAAGATATACCTCGTGCCATTACCTCTTCTAAATCCAGCTTGAATTTGTGGCAGTTCTCTGTCAATGTGCTCTGCTAGTTGTTTTTTATAATAATCGTTGACAAGATTTTGCTTGCATGTGATATTAATGCCATTGCCTGACAGTTCCCACATTCTGCTGGTTCAGTTTTTTGAGGAATGGGAACAAATATGGATCTCTTCCAGTCAGCTGGCCAGCAGCTGTCTTCCAGATTTCCTGGCACCACCCAGTGAGTACATCAAGGGGGCAACTTTGGAACATGTTAATTGATATTCTATCAATTCCTCAGGCCTTGTTTTTTTGCCAATGCCTTCAATTCAGCTTCAGTTTCTTTCTTCGTCGCCATAGGTTATTGATAATATGCTGCTTCTTGAATTGGCTCAATGTTAGCAAATTCTTCTTGGTACGGTGACTCTATGAATTCCTTCCATCTTCTTTTGATGCTTCTCATCAAACATTCTGTCCACAGCATCCTTCAGCATTACAACTTGAGGCTTGATTTTACTTTTTAGTTTTTCGCCTGGAGAAATTCCAAGCAAGTTCTTTCATTTTATTTTCTGACTCCAGCTGTTTGCACAATCATTATAATACTTGTGTTTTGTCTTCTTGAGCTGTCTTCTGAAATCTTCTATTTGGTTCTTTTACTTCAGCATTTCCTCCCTTTGTTTTGGATTCCTGATGCTCTAGTGCAATTTTCAGTCTATTCTGACATCCACTTTGCTTTTTTCCTCTCTCCTCTGTCATTGTAATGATCTTCTGCTTTCTTCCTGAAAGATATCCTTGATGTCATCCCACCACTCATCTGGCCTCATTCAATGCCTCAAAGCTATTCTTGAAGCAGTTTTTAAATTTAGGCAGGCTAGACTCTTGCTGAAACTGAGGAGGACCTGAAATGCTTGCTGCAGAGAGTCAAGGACTGCAGCCTTTAGTATGGATTGAAGCTCAATGTCAAGAAGACAAAGATTCTTACCACTGGACCAATTGGCAGCATCAGGATGGATGGTGAAGAGATTGAGATTGTTAACAACTTTAGTCTGCTTGGCTCCACGGTCAACACTCTTGGCACCAGTAGCCAAGAAATAAAAAAAAGTATTGCGATGGGAAAGTCTGCTGTTAGGGACTTCTTCAGGATACTGAAGAGCAATGGTGTCACTCTGGAGACTAAGGTACATCTGATACAGGCTATGGTCTTTGCAATCACTTGTTATGCATCAAAGAGTTGGACAATGACTAAGGAGGGTAGAAGGAGAATTGATGCCTTTGAGCTGTGGTGCTGGAGAAGAGTATTGAATGTCCCATGGACTGCCAAGAAAACAAACAGATTCATGCCGGAGAGAGTTAAACCAGGCTGCTCCTTGGAGGCAAGGATTCTGGGGCTTCGTCTGACATACTCTGAACATGTTGTAAGGAGGGAGAGGTCCTTGAAGAGGGACATCATGCTTGGGAGGGTGGAGGGGGGCATAAGAGGGGAAGACCGGGAGATCCAAGATGGCGGCAGAGGCAGAGACAGCGTGGTGAGCTGCGGGAGCAATGAACCACTTAAAGCAGGGCCATTATGGCCTTCCACAGACTTCAGCTTATTGATAATTGAACACTTAAACAGTTGATGACTGACCCTCAGTGAAGATCGAGGCTCAACAACAGGAATTCAAGGATTCCCAGGGAGAAATGGGTGAGTCTCGTGGCTCCCAACCTCCCCCTGAAGAGCCTGTGCAGCTCCGCACAGCCGCTGCAGCTCCATGAGGCTTCCACAGCTGGAACCAATGGATTCCCTCACCCAGGATGGATGCTGGGCACCGGCCCTCCTCAAGACTGATACAGTGAAGCCACCACACTGCTGGAAGGTGGACTTGTTCTGGAGAGAATTCTTGGAGCCAGGATGGCGGCTGTGGGGGAAGCGGGTGACGGGTGACCACCGGCTGCCTGCAAAAGAGGGGCCGCTTGCACTGGGGCAGGCCTCGCACCTCCCGCTGGCCGCCTGCGTAGGAGGTGGGGGATGGGATGCATGCCTGCCATCTGCAGGTGTGGGTTTCCTTGGACAGGCCAAAGAAGACAATTACCTATACAACAGATTGCTGAAAGTCACTGTGAGTCTGATGACCTTAACAGTGGCAGCATGCACAAGAGGACTAACATCCTAAATGCACCACATATTTTGTTCTGTTGAATGCTTCTGC